CAAAGAAATCTAAAATATATTTATTATATTTACAATATTAAATATTATATATTTTAAATATATATTACATATATTAAGCAAAAATATAAAACTAATATAATAATAATACACATAGACTTTGGCAAAATAAAATGGCAAAATAAAATAATAATGCAAAGAAAAAATGAAAAAATTAGTGTTAGTCATGTTACGTAGTATATGGAAGACGGATAATTGTGCGCACTTCAAAACATTTATGCATAGTTGCCCGCCGCGACCTGGCTCAATATGAAGTACGATTACTTTAATATTTCTTAATCAAACTTAATAAATAACAGTTGAAAAGACGCACATAATAACAAACTTTAATAACGTAAGCAACTTTAATCAAACAAATTAAAAATATTAACTTACCACCTTATTTTCTAACTGCTAAAATGACAAGAAAAGATGTGATTTCACTTTTTTGTATTTCTCTGGTTAGCAACATATTTATGTCGTATCTTTTGTAGTTATATCTTAAGAGGATGACCTCCTGCGTAAAAATTTTTATAGTATAGTTTTTTAAGTCATCTATAGTATTTTTACTCCAGTGGCGCAAAAAGTTTGAATTATTGTAAAATATTTTATATTACTTAATATAATTTTTTCTTTTTAAATATTGCTTAATATAACTATTTTTTTACAAACTTTTAGATATGCATTTTAAACGAAAACCCGTAATGAAATAATATTAATATAATAATATTAATTAAAATCTTACTTCTTCAGATATATGTATAGGGTCATAATAAATTATTGAATGTTTATTCTGTTTTATATTGTTTTCCTATTTATTTTATACAGAAAAAAATGATTAAAATATTAAATCCATATTCATAATGTTTTCAAATATAAATCGGAAAGCAATCAGTAATACAGGGTAGAGCGGGATTAATTGTGACTACACCATTTTCTCTTTAAATTATTGATAAATCTTGACATAATTAGACTAATGGTAAATGCTTTAAAACCTTGAATATTTATCTGGCTCAATAATTAAGTACTTATAAATCCTTAATATAAATCCTTAAATATATCTCGTAAGAAAAAAATTACGTTAATTACAAGGTAAAGTGAATCAATATGCCTTACCTATGGAGCATGTTGAACATCCTCGAAGGATAGGTTGAGCCATAAAGATAATCATTTAATGAGATTATATTGTATATTATTAAAAATATAAAAGGATTATATGTATATTAATCAAATTTTTATCATTTTTATCTTAAATATAATAATTTGTAATACTCTCCCTTCTCAAATGTTTTAATTCACAAAATTAAAAAAACTAAAATCTTTATTCTTTATAATAACAATTACAAACGTAAAATATATGTTTAATCGTTAAAACAGAAAAAAAACATCGATAAAAACAGATTTTATTTAAGCAGCTGAGATATAAGTTCATTATCATTGGGATATTGGACCCAACAAGTTCCAAACAAATATTGTCGACTAAAATACCTTTTTATAACTAAAAATCATAAATAAAATAGCAACTTGAACATTAAAAAATACGATAATATAATAACTTATATCCAAAAAAACACATTTTATTGTTATTAATCGCTTCAATTATCATGATCAAAAAGAATACTTATCTAATAATTTATTCTTGATATACGAAAACGAAAAAGCACATGTTGACAGCCGGCTACAGATTATTGTATTAAGACACAGTAATCTTCGTCTTTGTGCTACATTACATAAGCATAGACGTACTTATATATTCTTTCGTTATTTACATATTTGCATTTGACCAACTTGCCCCTATACGCAACTACCCCCGCTTTACCCTACAACATGTTAATAATAATGATTTTAACTGGAGTATAAAAACGCTGACAATTTACATTTAAAAAAATACATGATTACTCTCGTCTTTATAATTAAAAAAATCATAAAACAAATCATAAAAACAAATTGAACAAAAAATATCTCTTCATTTATCATTTTTATTGCAAAAACATTATTGATTTTTCACATATTAATTTTCTCTTTCAAAGCTTATATAGGAATACTGAATCAAATCCAGGAGATATTGTACATACAATGTAATTTATAAATCACATTATATTGTATATATATATATATATATATATAGATTATCATTAAACCATCTTTGTAATAATCTTATGTAAATTTTTGCTTATTTACTTGTGCTTGTAATATTATAATTACAACGGTCGCAACAGATGTGACGAACTAAAATTAAATACAAGTAAGATTTTTTAAAAATATTTGTTAATTTGAATTTGTAGTACGCAATCACATGGTAAATACATACCCCGTGAAGAAATTTAAAACCAAATTGGAAAAGCCCAATTCCATAGAATCTAAGTGGGGCATGAACTATTTGTAATGAAAATTGCGAAATCTATGTAAAAGATGTATTACTTTGATGTATATTTTTTGAATTTTATATTTACTTGTACTTTTAATATTTACTTTAATAATAACTTCAACATATTTTAAAACTTACGATTTCACGAACTTCAATATCACAGGTGACATATGATAATCTGTTTAATATATCTGCTGTTACTTTTGCCTGAAATTGTAATGTATGATGAATGTAATTATTATTATTATACAAAGAAAATAATTAAAGAAATTTCTAATTTAATTTTAAAATTATGTCAATAACAATTTTTGAATTCATTTACGTATTGTAAACAAATTTTAAATTAATGTTTTCCGAAATTTAATGTAATTTTACCTACCTTGGTGGTAACTTTTTCACAAATATAATTAATGAGTAGGAATTTAAATATATTATTAATCAAGCACAACGTGTGAAGTACGATGGTCATTGTTTTAGATTTGACATAATTTGTGATAAGTATTGGGTAGAAAATTTCGCGCAAATCAAACGCCATCCAACCAAAATAGCTTGCCATTTTGATAGTCATTTGGGTTCCAAATATTGAGTCTATTTCACGGCTTATTTTGCGTAGCTCTAAGTAAAGGTGTCTGGACATGCATACAGACATTAACTGTTATAAACGTTACATTTTTTTCAATGATGTTACCGTCACTAATAGAATTTACATAAAATTTCTTACATTGTGATCCACATTATGCATTTGCTGCTTAATGGTTTCGAAAATCTGTCTTGATGAGGATATATTCTGTTATTTTTCCAAGCCTGTGTTATTTTGAGTTTCTGATTTTTCATCAAATTCCGAATATGTTCATTGATTTGATCAAATTTTAATCCCGTGTATCTGAATATAAAAAAAAAGTAGATAGAAAATAAAATTATTTGAAACAGTAATTATCTCTAATCAGTACTTTTAAAATTTTTACTAGAAATTGTGAAATATTGGATTACTATTTGATTTTACATATTTACATAAATAACTACGCCATAAGATAAAGATATGATTGTAAGTATATGTAAGAATGTATACTAACTCGAGGATACTTGCATTAATCAAATCACCCATAAAATTAATATGAAAACAATAATCTCGTAGAAAGCTGAAATACATTGTTGATGCAATAACCCCATCATGTTCTTCTTTCAATATTAAACTTGCGCAGTATGTTGTTAATATAACTATGACGATCCATCCTAAGGCATACCACATTACTTTTCTGCGTAGCTTTTCATAATCTGTTATTGTTCCTAATTTAAGTAATGTGTTGTCGATAATATCAAATCTCTTTAAACAATTTTGGAATTTCTGTCGCAAAAATAGAAAATGAAATAGACAAATAATTATTATGGTAAATGTTCCGATTAGAAGAAGCTCCCGTGACATATTGTCAAGATCATGACCTTAATGATCTTAGAAAATGTTATCTATCGATCGTTGTTCGTTGTGTAAAAAATTATTAACAAATATTAATTATTATTGTATAGACCTATCTAACTTGATATAAATTTTACTTAGTATAAATATCACATTATTAGCATATTTACGTATGTTAGTGAATTTGTACTTGGGGGAAGGACGCAACAATCATAGACTTCATTTTGTCTAGAGAAGATGAGATAGACCTCGTTTCATGCGAAAAGTCGAAACCAATAATGGGACTTCGCTCCGCTTGGAAAGTATATATGTATACTAGTATAGAGGTAGCGGATTCAGCCGCTTCCTTCGAGAAAAGGGCTCAACTATTAAAAAATTTGATTTGTAAGTTTGATATGAATCTCACTTCACGTGGAAAGTTGTAAGTTTAAACGTGATTCTACTGGATCCACTTAGGTTTACAATTTTTCGTGCAAAGCGAGGTTCAATCCAAATATAGCTGTGTTCCAAATTGAATGTCAGTACTGGAAACTTATAATATACGCGTAACATAACATTTTTAGCGGTGGTAATAAATTTGAAAGTTCATATGTCTAATTTTTGTTACTTACTGATGTAAGGGGAAGGTGGAACCAATTGCATCCACAACGATTTCAATTAGCGTTCCTGTAGTAAGAGTTAAGCTATCGAGTGATGATTTTTGGTACGAAATGGAAGTAACTCGTTACTTGTAATGAAATTACAATTACAAGTTATTTTTTGGTAACTTTACTGGTAACTGTGTTACTGTTTTTCTTTGGTAACTTTAACGAAGTTGCATTTTTTTGATAACGCTAATGAATTTTACAATTACTTTTATCGTTATTTTATTATTTTTTACACAATTGGACACAAGCCACTCATAGCGCTTGAGATTAGAAAGTCCCTTTGCTGTGATTGATGGTCCTCGATTTTAAAAAAGTAACGGATAAATAACGAAAAGTTACTTTCTTAAGCAATTGTAATGAATTATTTTTAAAAATCGATAGTAATGGTAACTTGTTACTTTTTCTAGTCGGTAATGAGTAATTGTAATTTATTACTTTAAAAAGTAACTTTTCATTTCCAGGTTTTTGATTAGTCCACCATACTCAGGGAACAAAAGTGACACACAGTAGTAAAACACAATAAAATAACTAATTGTTATAGCTTGTTGTTTTCGCACTTTATCTCTGTTCCAGCAAACATTAGTTATAATTTATATGTGGCGGACATGCATGCATGTGAAATAGATGTTCTAACTTACTAAAGAAACTCTATAGTTTCAATGTCCGATTGAAGCAATATACACCGCGCTCTCTGTTCTTCTTAAAGAGTAAAATGAGATCTATAATGTAAAGTCATTTGTTATAAGATAGGCTTTTAATTAGGACAGCAGAATTTTTTCTGCTAAACTATTAAGCACATGTGATTGGCTCCATCATCCAACTTATTACTCTTGGAGTGAAATCTATTTAGTGCAAAATTTAGTAATATATCATGCATGTAATTGCGAAAAAAGATTTATGAAATTGGATATTATTAAATTTTGTTAACGTGCTTTAAATCTTATTCATTATAGTATAATAAAAAAATATTTGACAAATTCTGCATTTAATTACTGAGTAAGATCATATTAATAGGAAAATACGGGATATAATCATTTTCTTGATTATAAATATTTGAGATGATGATCGTGAAATCACAAGGCGTGAGACTCGTAATAGGCGAGATACTCAGAAAATTAAAAAAAAATCAGGGGATTCTGAAAATCAAGAAATTTAAGTATTTTATTTTCGGATTGTTTTATTTTATAATAAAATAATAAGTATAATATGTTTGACATACATTGTAATGGATTCTTAGTCTTAAGATTATTGTATTTTAAAATCATCGAAAAAATATATAATTACTATGTATAATTAAGATTATAAGTTGTTCTTATTTTTGTGCAATTAAAACGTTTATAGAAAATCTTTTCTTTATTTCTTTTCTTGGTTTCCTCTCAAATAAAAAAATTCCTATGTCTCGTATTAGGAACCCTTTTAAAGCAAAATTATCAATTTCAACAAAAATTTTCACATACAACAAGTAGCTATTACTGATTGCTAACTTTTGGCAATAAAATTTGAATTTATTTCTTATAAGTTTAACATTAAATATTAGGTGTTGGAATTAATTCGTAGCGTTTTACAAGTGATGGGAAGTACTTTCATTAATGTATTTTTTAATGCTCATGTGAAATAAATAACATTCTTTCATTAAAAAACGCTACGAATTAATTCCAACACCTAATAGGAATTAAGGTAATACGTTAAATAAATGGCACGCCGCAAAGAAAAAGTTCCGTTTTCATAGTGTATATATTAATATATATCCTGTGTTTAATATTAAATTTGTTCAAAAATCAGTTGTATTTTGTTTACAAAATTTATTTTGTTAATAACCTTTTAATGAGCAGCGACCGATGACCAAAAAATCTTATTCAGGGTCATTATTTTGTACAACGTATATTGTATTTTGGATTGTCTCTCCTAATCGGAATATTTACCATAGTTATTATAATTAAACAAATGTAGAATTTAACGTACTATCTTTATTTTCAAGGAATGAAAGAGTTACTTTTCCGTTACTTTTATAATAACTTTGTACAATAACTTTTTAATAATTATGTTGCAATTCTTTATGACAGTAATGATGACTAATTGTAGAACGTAGATGTTACGCTAAGTTTAGGAAAGTTACTTTGAAAAGTAAATCGTTATTCTTACGCATTACTTATTGAAAAAAGTAATAATTCCGTAAACTTACTTTGTAGCAAGTTGCATTAAAAAGCAATGAGTTAAAAATTGCAAGTTATTTTTTTCAGTAATGAATGACTTTTTCAACTGTTATAACTATTATAAATACTATTGTCTGCTTCAACTCTGTGTTACATAATCATTATGAGAAATTTGCAATGTCACTACCAAGTTGTTATTACAACTAGATATCTAAGTCATTAACAATAAGTAATGGCAGTTGCAGTAATTAGTTACTCCCATTCCCTGCACATTTCGTCAATGTAATTATGTAAATAGATAAGAATATGTTTATTTTTAAGTATTATGGTTATTCATTACCTTATTATAGTATATTCCAAACCCGATTGACAATATCGTCACAGGTATTTCTAGACGATGACCAATATTTTCCACAAAGGACAAATACTCATAAAAAGAAGTAAATGCACGTAATGTGAGGAAATAGTAAACTGACCAAAACAATAGTATATATATGGCACTAAACCATAATCTTGAGATATGGTGATTAGATATGGCAATTCTTAAACCAAATAAGTAACTGATTATTAAAAGTGGCGTTAAAATCGTACGAATACTTTTAGTCATTGCGCATACAATTTTTATTTCAAACTGTGCTTTTGTTGATCAGTTGAAAGTATAAATTGAACCGAATGGTAACGATGGTATAAATATTTATACAATTTTAGTCAAAAGCACTTAGGAATATTAAAATAATTATAGTCTATATATCACAACTTATGCCCCATTATTTATTGAAACTTATTGATGAAAGATGGGTATACTTTTATTTTTACTCATATACGTCGATACATAAAAACTATGCATATTCTGGCAATTTTGTTTTTTGTTTTTTCTTCTGTCCTTTATAATATATATTTAAGAGTGTTATTAAATATCAATATAGTATTTCAATATAGTCAATTTCAATTACAATTGCAGTTGTAACAAATACATAAATAATGTACAAACTTTATAAATATATTGCAATTATGTGTGAATTGTTTTTCTATATTATGTATAAAAATGTATATGTATAATGATCCCAGATAGCAAAACCTGTGAAGACAGATTTTGAGTAGATCATGCTACCAATCTTTGATTGCAGAAAGATAACAAATTATTGCACATAAAGTTTGCACTATTTTCCAATGTTAGCAAATTGTTGCTAGAAATAGGACAAAGCCTGTTGATATGTTATGCCAGCAGATTGATTGTAGAAGCCGAAGAAGATTTTGTAGCTTTTGTTCAGTTTCTGCTGTCATTCTGCTGTCAGATTTCCAGTATGTGTAGATCCTGTTTGATTTCTGTCACTAATCTGCTGATATAACATGACAGCAGGCTGTGTCTATCCATCGTCAGATGAAATGCGGACACAAATGACTAGGATTTTATAATGGGACTTTGATCGAATTCGCTGCCAATTTGCCCGAAAACTGCCTAAAATTTTGTAATCAGCTTTCATAATAAGAGGTTCATAGGCAGATTGATAATCTATGTAAAAACATAATGAAAATTTTATATTTATCGCATAAAATGCTATTAATTATTATCTATATAATATCTTATTAATAATAATAATAATAATTATTATTATTATATATGTAAAATAATTATTATTTAATAATATCAAAAATTTAATAACATCTTTCTTTTTTTACTCTTTTTTTCAACTCTAATGTAGAAACACTAAAATCGTATAATATATTTTATGAACATTATTATTAGATCAATTTTTTGTAAATTCTGTCATAGTTTGATAAAATGTTTGTTTATTTGCTTGCGCGTATATTATTATAACTAAATGTGGCAATAAATATGTTAAACTAAAAATAAAATCAATATATGAAAGTTTTTTTGAAATATTTATCAGGATACACTAGGACATCGAAAAAATATTATGGTGATATTTCATAATATTTTTAAAAGAAAGACTAATATATATCGTTTTAAAACTTTTGCACGTTTTAATATAACTATTATGGAGTAGGTACGTACAAATCTTTATGTGAAAAAAGGTATTATAAATAATAAAAATATAAATATTTAGTTTGGCGTCTCGTTACGGTGTTACGATTTTGTATACATCCTAGCGGCTGTAATTTTGGCTGG